GAAATGGGTAGTAAGGTTAAAATTATTAAAAAAAAATATATTATGTGATGTAACTAAAAATTTATAGTTTTCGTAATTTTTCCTTTATCTATGCTATAAGACGTTGCTTGGTACCAAATTTCAAGATTCTGAGTTCACGGGAAGCACCCTGTAGGTTTTGATTCCCTTGCAAGTGTCGAAAATTTGCAGCATAAACGGCTGTATCTTTTGATTGCGTTGGCTTAGAAGTTTGATTTTTTCACAGCTTCAAGGGACAGTAGACCTGAGTAATTGATATAAATTTCAGCTTCATACCTCCACGCGTTCCTGAGAAAAAGGGTCTTGACAGACGGACGGACGGACGGACAGACGGACAACAAAGTGATCCTATAAGGGTTCCGTTTTTCCTTTTGAGGTACGGAACCCTAAAAAAGGAGGTTCTCAATTTGACCCGTATGTTTAAGTGTATGTATGTTTGTCCGCGATTATCTCGCGTTTGGCTTAACCGAATATAACGCGGTTTTCTTAAAAATATTTGTTACATTCTAAAGATGGTTTTGGTGTACAACAAAGGGATACCCCATGACGTCGCCCACATGGATCCGTTATTAAGCGATATACAAATTAGTTCAAATTGACCGATTTTGTTCATGTCTCTTTCTCCCGGCGTGTTGTCCCGATCCTAGTCAGGGTACCCTTGACCATGATCCTGGATGCGTCAAGTCTGGGTAAATTACGTTGGAGCGACTGCCATATGACCTCATTAACTCTTGAACAGAGGAACCAGTCCATTTTTTGCATTATGGCTACACATCCATCGTTATCCGAATGTGGAGGTTTCCTCGCGATGTTTTCCTAATGGATTCTCTATGGTTTTAATCCGTAGATAGATTCCGATAAATTCATAGGTACGTGCTGGGATTAGAACACACAACCCACGGATGTGAGGCTAGAATTAAATCACTGAGCTACCACCGCACCGCTATACCCATTTTGTTATAAAACTATATGGAAAAAAATATCTTTTGATTTTAAGAAAATAATTCCTGCTTGCTCCTATTTAAAAGAAACTGGCGCTGCAAGCAGGGTCGTCTCTGTTTGAAGGAATAAAAAAAAAAATAAGATTCGGGTGCTCGGCGTGTAATTATTTATGTTGAAGCAGGAAAACCTTTGATTGGCCTTATTCAAAATTAGCACAATTCATTCTACAGTTAAAAATTAAGTGTTAACTATAGTTTGAATTTTAACGTTGCGTTCAAATAAATAAACATATCGATCTAGCGTAGCTTCGACTCACAACTATGATGAACGTAAAGATTTTAACGACGCTAACAACTAATGATCAAATAGTATCTTAGATGGCGTTTGTTATAACTTTTCCTTTGGCATTTAAGTTTTTTATGTGATACCCTTTTACTCGAAATATTTGAGGTCTCGGACTAGCTATCGACTAGCATCTAAAAATACCTATTCCAAATACCTAATCCGATATTTATGTCTCACCTCTAGCTAAAACCTCATTTATTGTAGTAGCAGATGTTACTTGTAAGAGAGGACCTTGTAAAAATGGATTTTATTGAGATTTTATTTTACTACTTACCATTGACTTACCACTTTACTTTGACTTTGGCGGTAATTTCAACCACGCCAACTTACAGCTTTCTAGTGTACTACTAAGAGTCTCTGAGCTAAACTGCGGACAGACAGACGGCTGGAGGGCCCGACATGGCGCAACTACACGGTTATCTTGTTGAAATTTCCTAATAATTTTCTTTTAATTTCGTTGTACAACCAGCATAAAAGCTTCGCAGACCCTTTCGATTCCAGTGTCATGAGGGTCCCAAAACATACATTTCGTACAAATCGATTTTTTTTGAAGTCGGTAAAAAAACAAAATTTGTTGTTCTCGGGTACTAAGTAGTAAATAGCTATACACCCCGACAAACTTTTTGAGCATAAACCATTGATAAGGAAACCTGCTGCACGCAAGTTTGTTTATAGTTTTAATAAAAGTTTGTCGCTCGCGCTACTACCAATAGTAGGTAGGTTGTGGAAATTGAAATGTCATCACCATCTTTCCAATTCGGGAGTAACTTGGAGAACGATCGTTTTCCTGTTTACGACGAGTAAAAGATTTATTTACGACAACAAGCGATCTTGCTTTTCTTAACATAGAAACTGTTTTTTTAAGGAAATTGGATTGCGAAGGCTTAATTAATGATTTAAAGTGCACGACCAGCACAGCGGTGACATCAGGGAATAGAAGGAGGCACGCGCCGGTGACGCCGTCCGGGCTCCTACTCGCTGCTGCAGCCCGACGGCGTGCAGCGCATCGTCGAGTATACCGCTGACAAGGAACACGGCTTCAACGCTATTGTGCGCTACGAGGGACACCCCGCGTCCGCACCCGCCAAGCTCGCCTACGCCGCCCCTGTGGCCTACTCCGCCCCCGTCGCTTAATGATTTTACTGCACTAAAGTACAGGCGAGTTTTGTAACACATTGCATAACAATTATTATATCTTATCTTGTACTCTTAACCTGTAGTTATTAAATAAATCCTAAAACCGTTGAAATAATTTATTTAATTGTGCAATTATTCCTGAAACCTCGTAAAATTTTAGAAATTAGAAGCTATTATTATTATCATTCATTCTTGTAAACTTATAGTTAGTTACTTTTACCCACACTACCCACCCGTACTTGCGATAACAAGTAGATCCGTACAAATTAATTGTGTTTGATTAGATATTCAAATATTTAACTAGCAATTAAGTGTCAAAAAATTATAACACTCGGGTAAAAGTTATAACCAAGTATGCCTAGTTGGCAGAGTATGTTAGAGCAAATAACTAGTTGTAACAACTTACGTACCTTATTCTTGCGAAATAATCATTTTTTTATGAATTTCTAAATCTATTGTGATCAAAATTGGCAATAAGGTAATTTCATTATGTAGTCTATGATGAATGCTGTGAAAGGGGTGGCTGATGGCTTGAGGCCTATGGCGGCCGTGACTGCTTATCCGCCACTGCTTGACCCCATACCTCACCTCTTGGTGCTGTAGTTATCTTTCACTCTTAAGGAACATTAAACAATAGTTCAATTTGCTGCAGTCTTCTGCAAGATGGGGTTTCTTCTTCAAATAGGCGCTCTGAAGGCAGAAACAGATTTTTGAAACGCGACGACCCGACGCCTTTTTCGTATTTTCCATAATCAGAGTGTGTGCCTTACAGCATATTAGGTATACATATAATAATAATAATAAATAATTAATACGATGATTAAAAATGAAGTCTAATAACCATATCTAGGTACATGTTTAAATGCTACAAAATTTTAATGAATATTAAGGTAGTATGTATTTATTCATACGGGTGGGTCCGTTCGCGGACAATCACCTTGCGGGTGCGTGGACAGTCGGCAACGGTTGCCGCGATCACACCCGCACTACCGGCGTGCATTGGGGGGACTGCGGTCCTCAGAATGTACGCCGGGTCACCGGTGCAGGAGTATTGTCTGGTTTTTAGTGGCCCTGCACAGGGCGTTAGGTGGGGCCCTACTCACCCGGCCCAAGGGCTGTAATGAGGAGGGAGTAGTCTCACATACCTTTTCCTCTTTCCCCCGGTGGTTGAAGGATGCGCAAGGCATTTCCGAGAAAAAAAGGTAGTATGTATTTGGTCCTGCGCGCTGGATTTTCAATCTACGATACGCATGTTCGGTTATTTTTCAATCTTTTTATTTCCTGCTATAGGTACTTTAAGAGCTAACGAGCCAAAGTCGATGATATTATAGACGTTTCTCCTTTATTACAAGATATCGTATAGCGACAAAATAAATAATAATATAACCACTAGTCAGGGCCGTAGCTAGAAGGGCTTTAAGGGGCAATGCCCTACCTTAAAACGGGGCGGCAGGCTGCGAATAGCGGTACACCCCTACGTTTGCCCTATTATGACTGCCCTATCTTAAATACAACTCTAGGTATGGCCCTGCCTCTAGCTAGATGAATGTAAATCTCGCTAATGATCACAAACACAATTAGTGTAATTAAGAATATAATAAGCTACTGTGACTAAACAAAATAAACCGATTACGTATTGCAGAACTATTGCAGTTGGCCACTCTGCAGTGCAAGTGATGCACCTATGTAGATGATTGCACGAAGGTACTTTCAGTTTCTAGATTGTTTCTAAGCTTAGCTACATACTCATAAAACTATTTAGAGTTGGTCTTAGTATTTTTTTACGATTGACGATGACGTTTCGAAACGTTAATTTTATGTAAAAATTAAATGCCATGCGATTCCAACGATATTAAATACCCTAGATACACCAACACGAACAAAATCATGCCCGAAACCTGTCCACAAGGTACATTGGACGATCCACGGAGCTCCGTAAGATGATCGCGTAGTTTAAACAATATAAGGCATTATTTAAACATTGAAAATCACCTGTAAAGCATACTGTATAAGGTTTTAATTAAAACGCACGCGTCATAGAGTTATGACAGTCCGATATGTAAGCTCGTAAAATTTTACGACTTATGCAGAAGAATAACGACCTTATTTCTTTGACTGTACGCGCAATTCTGAATGCGCTGTTAGTAATATGCGCAGGTACGGTCCGCGAGGAAAAGAGACGGCTATATTATCGACCATGCATTTGAATATCATAAATAATTTCTATTAAATCAGTTTATAGTAAGTATTAAAACAAAATTTACTTCAAATGCGTTAAATTAACAAACATTCATTAGATTCCTGTCGAAAAGACGACATTTTACATTCTTTATGTATTTCACGGAGCTCAGCGACATGTTGACTTTTCAACGGTCCGTGCGTGACTGTGAATCAAGAAGTGCTTGAGTCGTGTTCAAGCACTTCTTGATTGGGACACATTTTGAGCGCTCGTGGTGTATCTAGGGTATTTAATATCGTTGTGCGATTCATAACTAGAATAAAGGGAAGAAAGAGGTTTTTTTACCTTATTAGTGTACGTGGCAATACAAGAAACGAAGTATTTATAAGACATTTGTTTATTTCCATATTACAAAGTCTACAAATAATAGAAACTTAAGCTTAAAATGCACAGGAATCATAACGCCAATTTAAAATTAAACAGATCATCAGTATTTCGAGATAAAGTTATGCACAGCGCAAAAAATAAATATGGTTCACTTAACTATAAATAACTTATACGTAAAGTATATGAATAGAATCACACTGAATCTCATGTAATTGTATCGTGGGATTACAGAGATCATAAATCCTTGGAATTTTCTGGTAAGCAAAGGAAGAGTTTGGAGCAGGCTAAATTGAATGAGTTGCAAGTGGATTGCAACCATTGGGGTTTGTTCTGCCACTGTATGAAGACGAAGTATATGGGTACGCCTAGGGCTGTGAAGGCGACGCCGATGCCGACTTCTTGCGGGTGGGTGAAGCATGAGAATACTACTAGGAATGTGCATATGATGAGAAAAGCTATCGGCAGAAGAAGGTTGACGCGGATCGGTCGCATGAGCAGCGGCCTCTTGTAACGCATCCAGAGTAGTCCGGCCACTGAGCACAGCGTGAACAGAGCCTCCACCGCAGTCACGTACACGATCAGCGATTCCACGTTGTTGGTCAAAAGTACTATGAGAGTCACGAGACACTGAAACAAAAGAAAAATATCTTAAGTGGTGCATACTGTTGGGTGCTTACTACACGTTGTGAAGAAAATGTTCATTGTAATCAGCATATTTCTGCCGCCACTCCAGCTTGCAGCATGATCCTGCTGATCTAATCTGATCTGATGATGGAACGTATTAGTGGGTGCTATAGAAACTGCAAATGTAGCGAACTTTACGTGCATTCCGATGCACGATTTGCGAATGAGCTCCTAATAGTAAATGGTCATCCATCCTATGTGTCTATGACCAGAAGGTATGCGCATACTATTTCTCATTAATGACTTCTATTGTTTGTCTCCAAAAGTACTAGAAAAGAAAAAGTACTAGAAAAATTGCTAGCACTGAATTCTAAGGAACATATCGAAAAAAATCTGATTTGTAAAAAAAGTTTCATCTATTCGGTCCACAAATCTTAGGTACTGATCAGTAGGAAGAAAAAGAAGGAAGAAGTAGAAATGAGATGAGATGATGAGTTCAGGAACTTTTCCTTTTTGAAGTCGGTTAAAACGCTTTGATGGTTATAATTTGATTAGTTTTAAGAGAGATGACAGCATTACAGTACTATGCTGCTCATTCTTTAAAGATATAACGAGTACAAAAGATGCCTTAATGACCTATCTTATAGAAACCGCATTTCTACAACAGTTCGATCCTATGAGACAAGATTGCGTTCTTCGGAATGATTTCTCTCGACGACCACCAGAAACTGTTAGACATTTGTTTTGTTTTTAAATATTTAGTAGAGAAATTGATTCTTCTCTTCTATTGTAAAATTCCTTGATCGATATCCCCGATCTTCTAAAACACCTTTCTGTCCTCCTCATGGAAAATCGAAGTTAGCTGCGAATTTACCAGTGCCAACGTTATGCAGGCTTCTTAATGAACATAACAACGTTATGGATCTCCATTGTGACTTATTTGCTAGGTTCAAAGCTTAGCCTAAAATATTATTATTTTGTCGTTTTCATATATCAGGTAGGACACATATTCACTAGAATACAATTGGATGAATGACGATTTTATTACGTTACCCTAAAAGCGATAATCGAAGTGCAGAAGTAACCATTATAGGTGCCTCGACTGCCCCCAATGTGCGTCTCTACATTGTATTCTTTCTTTGCACAGTTGTAAGTATATGATCAGTAAAATATTAGTCATACGATGTAATTTACGAGTGTTTGCTAGTTGCTTATGTAAGTACTTACCTAAAATTTTTATGAAAATATAAGATAAGTAGGTATTTCAACTGCTACTCTAAACAGAAAACTTTTTGACAGATTTCTTTTGAACGATATCTTAAAGGTTAGTTTAAAAATAAAAGTTGGCTGTTCCATTACGAATTGTTATCATAATTATGTTTATTTCATTTACTTTTTAGAAAAAAAACTTGGTCGTGATTAGGTAGTTACTTTACTTTTAAAAAGCAATCACATGGTATTTCTGACGCGTACTTACAAGCCAGTAATATCAAACAAAATAGACTTTCGTCTATATTTCTCAATCGAGCAAAGCGGCTGTACGAATTTGGATAAAATTTGAAACATACAGTTTATAAACTGGATTGAGACATACACACATCAAAAAAAGTTTGCGATCACTTTGAAAAATAGATTGTGTTTGTGTTACAGAAGTTTTTTTTTGTAATTTCTTTTTCTGATAAGATTCTAAATTTTAAAATTAAGTCAATATTATCGAATTTAAAATATATTTTCACGCAAAGCTATGATTTAAAAAATGCCACGATGATTTTATCAGATGTTTTACGAGCCAGCATTGTAACTTTGAGGGATGAAGGCTATTCTACGAGAGAAATAGCACGCAGAGTTGCCATATACCAATCCTGTGTAGTAACCACGATCGACCCCGCAGCGGTTTTGACAGCTGCTCAGAAGCGCTACATCAGGTTGCTGGTAGCCCGCGACCTAACATAAACGCCACTAAACTAAAAGCAGAAATATGGGCCGCCTCCGGACTTGAAGTTAGCACTCAGACCATTCGGAATTGCTGACACAAGGCTGGATTACGAGCACGGATGTCTTGGCGAGCATTTTTGAATTTACGGGAACGTCAGCGACGAAGATTACCATGGGCTAGGCTCCGGCATAACACACAAGACGAAGGGGAAAACATTTGGCAAAACTGCCTCTTCGTTGACGAATCGCGAATCAGTACTCATCCAGATAACCGACGTGTCCGTGTTTAGAGAAGACCTGGAGACTCTGAAAGGCAAAGAACGGCCACTGCAACGGTTCTACAATGCGGGAAATCAGTGACTTTTTGGGGTGGTATTATGATTGGGGCTAGAACGCCTTTAATCCCTTATTAAGGCTTCATGACGGCAGACAGATACAAAACAGTCCCTATTGATTGAATCGTCAGACCTTTCCGCGTAAACCATGGGTACCAATTTATACTGGTTGACGATAATGCCGGCACATCGAGCTCAACGAGGCTATGCTGCTCTCCGAGAATACGAAATCACAAGGTTAGACTGGCCTGACGGCTCTCTTGACTTAAACCCAGTACAGCACGCATGGGATGCTCTTAAGCGAGCTGTTTGGAACCACCAGCCACCACCCCAGATAGTGCCGCAGTTTAGGGAAGCTGCTGTTCAAGAATGGGACAGGTTACCACAACATATGCTGGATAACTTGATCCTCAGCATGCCCAGGATCTCCGTATGTGTTCGAGCCAGAGACGAAGTTATTTTGTATTAGATAAACAACAATTTATTAATAAAAGGTTTTTAAGTTTGGTTAAACTATCTTTTTATTTCTATCAAAGTTCTATTACAATCGCCTTAGGATTGAATTATTAAATTTTGTATGCTAAAAAATAAAATTAGATTTAATTTTTAATTTCAGAAAGTGAATTTTAAAATAAAAAAGGTGTAACGTAAACATTTTCTCTTGATTAAGTTAAATTTTGAATATATATCAGCTTTTGCAAGTGATCTCATACTTTTTTTGATGGGTGACTGTAATGCGGGCGAAGTCGAGGGTGGAAACTAGTGTGCTAATTTATTAAAGTGTTCCCTCAATTTGTCCAAGATCACAACATCAGATCCTGACTTGGTGAACTTGGGATCACCCCGGAAGTTTAACTTTTCAAATAAAAAGGATTTTGAAAATCTGTTCAAGTTGCCGAATATAAAAAAAAAATACACACGCGATAGACAAATACACAACCAACACTTTTTTTTGCCGCAATATGAAAGTTTTGATCGTTGACTGAAAGAGTAGTCTTGTTAATAAATTAAAATAATCCATATTTAACACCATGATGATAAATATGGATGGTCCATGGACCATGCGAGGTTTGCAATGTGCAAAGGGTAGGTATCTTATTAGCAGTGACACATTTTAAAAACCCTCATTAGTCATCGTTACCAATTTGTTCCAGGACACAGACGTTGAAAAAAACGATAAGATGCACCATACATATTTAGACATCCAGCGTTTTTGGCCATTTCTAAATGTTTGCCTATGATTTACCTATACTTTTAGACTTATTCTTATCCCACACCATAAGTTCCCATCCATAAGTTTCTGGTGGGATGGTACTAAAATGCGCTAAAATTATTAGCGTTTGAACTTTGAATGAAATACTTACGTTTCTTCATGCTTCTCCCACACCTGCGCGACGAAGCTTCGGTGGCTTTGGTACTAAATGCGCTAATTATTATTATTAGCGTTTATCGTTTTCCACAACCTTACAACCTTTCCATATCAAATTATCGACAGTGAAGCTATCTTCTAGCGCTTAAAGACACGCAGCCTTAACTTCATGGTGACAGAACTAATTCAAATTTCGAACGCTAATTTTAGAGCATTTACAAATTATATTACATATACAATATTTACTTCCAAAGCCACCCGAAGCTTCGTCGCGCAGGTGTGGGAGAAGCATAGAATAATTTAATATTTTAGGCAACTCAAGATTGATTAATAATTCCCTAATCCATCAAGGCTAGTCACAACAATATTTTACCGTCAGTTGTTTCCGAGGTCCGGGTAGGTAAAGCTCAATATTTTTTTTTGTAATAAAAACACTGCTGTTTTCATTGGACTTTTACAATATGTTCTGGTAAATATGCAACGATGCATTCGATTTTCTATGTTTATTGATAGTGTATTCTATTAAAAATGGTTTCTATTCAAAAGTTACAGATACTTATTTTCTAAAAGTCTGTCTCAAATATGTATGCATGTTTTCTTAACAACCTCCATAACTTCAAACCTTTAAAATGTGTAACTGATTTGGATATATAGGTCTCATTAGAATTGTATTATCTTCTCAGATGGACACTCATTGTGAATCTTTGAAAAAATCATAGTAACAATGGAGAGTGTCATTTTCAAAAGTGAAAACCAAAATCTCTAATGCACAATAAGCAAATTCAAATAAGCCTTGACGAGCTCATCCAAGAACTATATTACTTATATGTATAGGGTCAAAATGTCAATTACAAATAAAGACGTAAATTAAACATTTCTGGTTTTGCAACAAAATAGTTAGGCGCTGTTTTGATTTGAGCCATGCTTAGGAAAAAGAATGTTTTTTTTTCTTGAACTGGTTTTTTCAAGGTTCCGTAGTTCTGACAAGGAACCCTTATAGTTTCGTCATGTCCGTCTGCCTGTCCGTCCCAGGTATTGCATGGAGGCTATTAGCACTAGAGCTGTAATTTTGTGGAGATATTTAGATCAATCACGCCGACAAATAGGCAGTTAAAAAAAAAACGGGTGGCTCTGCTACATGTAGCCTGTAGATGATTTTATTTTTTCATCGTCGTCGTCACCTCATCGTGTGGGGTATCGTTGAATAGGTCCTTTAAAATTACTTATGGGTTTCTCAGACTATGTTTCGATTAAGGGATCCGTTTGCGAAATATTGAACTTTAAAGTGCTAATTTTTGTTTAAAGTGGCTATAAAACTATTGGCTTAAAAAACTTGGAATAATTCATCGTAATGAACTTTGAAG